CTCCAGTCCGTCGCCCCTCCGCCCCGGCCCGACTCGACCCCACCCAACACCTCTGCCGGCTCACACAGCAACACCGCCTCCTCTTCCGATACGCTCTCTGAATCCCTCCTCTCCCTCGATGCTGCGCTACCCAAACTCGCAACCCAACACACGCAAGAGCCGTCGCACGACTCGGCCGTCTCAACGCATCAACCCTCACTTGACTCCCACAGCTCCCGCCATGACGACACGCTAGCCACACCATCGAGCGCAGTCACCACCTCCGCATCCGACCCGGTCCCGACCCAAGCCTCAGTCCATCCCGCTTCTCAGCCCATCTCCCTGCCGCAGTCTTCCTCGGCCTTTGTCACTTCACCTCAGCGATTCTCCAGTCTCGGTCGTCGTTCCGCCGCACGTCTGACCTTGGACCCTTCCACTCTCCCATCCTCCCTCCAAATGCCACGGGCGCTCGCTCGCGACATCAACCAGGAGCTCGAATCGCCAAAATCGCCTTCCGATGCACTCCCAACCACTCCTCGCAACGAGCGAAGGATGAGCATGCTCGACTTTCTCGCCACAGACTCGCCCACCCACCAAGCCGTCCAGCCTGCCCCCGCCAGCCTCTCCGCCGAGCATCTGCCCGCTTCCATGCCCTTGATGCAGGCCAGCCATCAGTTCAGCCTCGGTGCCTCGGCCTCCTCCTCCTCCTCCTACGCTCCATCCTCCTCCCGTCACACAAAGGTAGACCTCTGCCAAAACGTCTCGGTCAGCGTAGAGCCCCTCGTCGATCGCCTCACCATGTTTGGTTCCATGCAGTCCAGCTCCAACTATTCCCTCGCGGGCACCGTCGTCGTCGAGGTGCCCAAGCTCGACGTCCCTCGTGTCTCGGCCGCAGCCGCAATCAGCCCCGACGGCTCCGTCTCCGACCACCCTGCCATCCACGTCGAAGCGCTCACCGTCTGCTTCATCGGCTACTCGGTCTACGTCGATGCAACCGGCAGATACAACGCCATCAAGCTCGCAGAAATATCGCAAGAACTTCTACAACCGCAAGGATGCACCTGCCCGGTACCCTTGGTCGAGCACACCGACGCATCCCCTTCGCACCTCGATGCTCCTTCGCCCACGGTCAAATACGAGACCGAATTCGACCTCTCCATCCCCGGTTGGCTTCCTGCCTCTCAACGCTCGCGCTTTGGCGCCACCTTCTACTGCGTGCAGGCATCCGCCACCGTTCAAGGCAGAGCCGTCGTCTCCGCCCTCGCCGCCTTCGGTCGCAGACCATCCGACGGCCAATCTCCGTCCATCAACACCGCCACATCACTCGAAGCAGAGCAGCGCGAGCCCATCGTCGCCGCCAGCGCTGTGGAGCGCAAGGAATCCGTCCAGTCTGCCTCCGCCACTGCGCGGCCCAAATCCAAGGGCACCTGGCTCAACAAGAGAGCAAAGCAGCTACAGCTCAGGACCTCCAAAAAGTCATCCCCCTCCGAGGCAGAACTCACCAGCTCCGTCGCCATCGGCCGCCGAGGTTCGGGATCCAAGGACTTAGTATCGGCATCGGGCGAGAGCGATCCTCTCTTCTCCAAAACCAGTGAGGCTTCCAACCAGACTCTGCCTAATGGCCAGCATCTGCTCAAAAGCGAGTGCATCAGCATCTTGGTACGCCGCTGCAGAGACGTCGTCCCCGTTCCTGTCGCCAGACTCGCTCGACTCGCCATCGCCGGCGACGTGCCATCCGCCCAAGATGCGCCACCACACTCGCTCTCACAGAGCATGCTCGCCCTGGCTGCCCTGCAAGAGGCGCCTGCCACCTCCAATGCTCGCATAGCGCCCACAGCACCAGCGCCAGCACACGAGAGACCTCACCTGCCTGCTTCCGTCTCCGCACCGACCATCATTGCGCCGCTCTCCAATTCACACCAGCAGCTCGACGTTCTCAGTGCAAGTGGCACCAGCGCTGCAAATGCCGCTGGCGAATCGACCACGGCGCCGGCTTTGGCGCCATCTCCAAACATCGACACTCATCCGGCGCGCATGGGCCCCCACGATGCTCCATCTACTGCGCAGAGCTCGGCGATTCTCGACGCCGAAAGGGAGTCGAGGTCCATCCTTCCGCCCGCACCCAGCGCCTTTGATGCACCTCGTGATCCAGCCAAACTGGCAGCAGCAACGGGAGGCATGACGCCCTCGGCTACGCTGCCCAACATGCCTTCCTCAAGGAGCCGTGCTTCCTCGCTGCTCGACTCGCGCTTCGGCAATGCCAACTCGCCACCGCGCACCTCGTCCAGATCCGCCTCAGTAGGCCGCACCTCGGCGCCCATGCGTCATTTTGTGCACCGTCCAACACTGCATCTGCCGCCTGCTCTCGGCGTGACGCCAGACAGCGAAGCCGACGGCGGCCTCGTCTTTTCCCTCACCCTCTCCCTGCCTTCACACGTTCACGTCGCCGGTCCCAAGGCCGACGTGCTTAGCTTTGGCGTTCAGATCGAGGCAGGCCGAACACCAGGCTGGGAGGCGCTTCGCAGGTGCGGCGGCCTGCGGCTCAAGGACATGGAGCTCGTCTGTCTCCAGACCGAGCGCCATAGTTCCATGCCTTCCCGTTCTTTCGTACACACTTTCCCAGTGCCGCCGCCGCCTAATCGCGTCGAGGCAGCCGATTTACCCGTTGTTACTGCTTCGCGCAGATCGACTGCCGCCTCGTCGCCGGCACAAGCAGCAGCCGAGAAGCAACTTCGCGCAAGCTACGACCGATCGCTCGTCCTCGGCCATGTCTCCCTTGCCAATCAAGGAAAGGCACCACATCCGATCGAGCACAATGTGGAGCGTGTCCGCACGACGATCGTAGGTCCGCCGCCCTTTGTTCTCCGCAAACGAGCCGGCGACAATCTCGAACGAGATGCGGCCGATTCCTCCCGCAAAGGCAAGGCAACGGCCACCAACAGGGCCATTTCAACCTCCGCTGCCAGGTCCAACGGTGCCACGCGAAGCCCGCAGCAGAACAGTCCCGCGGGCTCCGGTGCAAACACGCCGGACGGACACTCGCAGAGCGCCGGTGTGAACTCTCTGAGAGCTGCATTCGCACCGACTGCGCTTGCCACCGCGTCGCGCTCGCGCGGAAGCGTGATGCAGCCGGCGCCTAGGGCCCTGGCGCGCTCCAACAACTCGAGCAGCTCTTCGCTCCGAGCCGCCTTCCAAGGCACTGATGGGTCAGGTGCGATGCAGCCTGCGCCACGCTCCGGCACAGTGGGGCCAGCCTCGTCCAACGCTGCAGCGCCTCGAAGCCGAAGACCGATCCCCTTTGAAATGGACCTGACGAGCGTTCCGGCAGGCACAGCAGCAGAAGACGGCACTGCCCGTGCCGACGGCACCACCCGTGGAGAGG